GGTTAGCCGGAAGCTGTACCGCGGTGCGTGAGTATTCGTTGCACGATCACCACAGTAACCCCAAAATTACGATGCTGATCGTCTTCAGTTATAGGAGATGAAACTGTTTTAGTTGTGAACATCTTCATTTGATTTGCCCCTGAATTTTAACAAACATAGTTAACCAAGAGGGCTGTACAACCATATAGTTCCACAAACTAACCTGGCGCACCAACCCAGAGTGAAGTTCTTTTACCAACAGTGCTATGACAATTCGTTCTATCAGAAACCCACCGGTCAGCGTTTGTGTTTTCCCTCGCAAAAAAGATACCAGTTCATTAGAGAGCCTTCCCCGCACGAGGGTGATGAATGAATAACATCATCGGTATCTAAGGTTGGATGTATGTATGGACTTGTCGAATGAAAAACAGTTTCATTCCAGCATCTCTTGGTTGGAATATATCGCCATAACCCAACGATATCCGTTTCACAAGAACCCTGGGTGGTAGGGACCAGACGATAAAGGTCCTCAAATGATCGCTCCGAAAGATGTGTGTTCGGATCCCACCACCACCGTCTAACTCTCCCACTTTCTATGTATTTCATGGCAACCCTCTGATTGATCGCTTACCCCTTCCCGAAAATAATATCACTAGGCCCTAAATAAAAGGAATCGAAATTTAAAAAAAATAAATAAGTGATTTTAAACTATGTTTACTGTTATCGGAAGTTTCTCTTATAGAGTAACTCAAAAACATCGCGTTGTTTACATTCACTTTCAGAAATCTTATTAAGTCCGGAACATCGTTCTATCCAAATGTCACCTCTTGTTTTAATGACGCGTTGTGGTAACATCAATCGATTATGGGGTACTTTGTTTCACCAAATGATTTACTGTCTCCCCACAGTGCACATATATTATACCCTGGTGCACGGAGCATTTAGTTTTAAAAAAAAGTTACATCAGGGCGAACCAAACTACTCGTCATTACCAACTTCTGTACCATAAACCATTCTGTAATGGTGTGCTCACATGTCTGTAGCATGCATATCTAGTTCGTACTAACCAATCATTGTCTCATTGCGTCCCGTGACGTGCGCGGGAAATCGGAGTGGAAAAATGTACAAAAGGCGGTATTCGGTAAAAACGAATTAAGGCAACTGGCACTTAGATTCTTCCATGGTGAGTCAACCGGATATCTCGTCATATTTTCCAATGCACTAATTAGTTTTTGCTATAACCGTGGGCTTACATTTTGCATGCGAATTTCGTCGAATTACAATGTGGAAAATAGTACTTCATGATGTGTGAACGAACTGTTTCTAGTAAAAAGCAGCTCTCCTTGACGCTCTAGTGTTTCTAACTCTGGATATAGGCGTTCTAGCTAAACGCATTTGTGAGGCGGTTGTGTCGCTTTATGCTTAATAAATCAAATTTTACGAGTTGAGTATTTGAATTGCCGATGCCTTTTATACGGATAAAACATTTTGAGTATACATTGAATATAATTATAATAATATACAACTAATACGATTTCATCAAACGTATTATCCATTATCTTGTGAAAAAAC